CCACCACATGCCGGAACCACTCCATGGCGTGCACTTCGGACAGGTTGGGCCGCATTAGGTCACCGATATGTCCGTCGCACAGCTCCATCAATATGACCACAAAGAGCGAGGGAAAGCCTGTCCGCTCATCCTTCAAGTGGAAAGCCATGTCGTTGAGCAGTAAGTTCGGATGGGACAGACCGCTCAGCACCTGTACCTCATTGAGCATCTTGTGGACCGTGTCTTTGAAACTGAGCTCCGAGTCCTTATCCTTGTATAGGCTGAGCGACACCACCTTCGCGGCCAACACCCGGTTGTGGTTGTGCTCATCTATCACTTTGTATACCTCTCCATAGCCTCCCTTTCCCAGCTTGTCCTCAAACCGGAAGCCCAGGTTCGTGAGCTTACTCTCCTCGTCCCACCACAGTTTGTCCATGTTCACTTTGGGTCATTTGCGACCCTTGTCGTAGCCCTGGTAGTCAAAAGCCGGCGGTGTTGTCAATACCATATGTGCTGATTCTCGGAGTTTGGATTCTCTATGAGATTCTCAATGCTTTTGATTATTTGCAACAATTCTGTCATTTTTATTGAAAATTAATGTTTTAATTCTGAATTTATAATTTATTTTGAAGCAACAAAATTACACTGTTAATTTTACTAATAGTTTGTGATTATGTTTGTGACAAATCTATTTACTTCAGGTGAACTTCAATTACAAATACCAGTATAATTAGATTTGATTTTGTACAAATATACCAGTATGTAGGTGCAAATATACAATATATCAAATCTATTATTAGTACTAAATGTCTTATGAATAATTTTTATAAAATTTTCATTACAATTAAAATTTAACAATTAAATTTATTCCTAGTTTTAAAACTAATTTACAGATTATCAGGGCAAGAATAAACTATTAAATTATGTAAATAAGTTTAATATTGAAATTCAATGATTGAGTGCACGTCTAATGTTAGGTTGGGTTAGGTTTGACTGAGTTTTTGAGGCAAACCTAACCTAACATCTCAGCACTTGAACAGCACTTTATGTGCAATCATTCAGTGCACAGACTCCACATTACATATGCAGTACTATTTAAAGTTTAAATTTTAAACTATTATACTAAATACAACTTTTACTAGAGTTTCAATTAAATTAATCCGGATATTTATCAAAAAAAAATTTACATAATTAGATATCTAAAATTATAATTTAATCTAGGAGATTAACCACTTACATCATTAATACACAACGATTTTACATTTAATATGTCATAATTAATATAAGTCCATAATGATAATTTGATTAATTTATTAAAACTACCCAGTATCAAACTACGGTAACCCCCAAACAAACTACAATCTAGTCTCTTGAGTCTCGGCATTAGTGGTGACCCACCAGTGCGCCATCACCTCATCCATAGTGGGTCTGTTAGCCGGGTCGGTGTCAACCATACAGTACAGCAGTCTAATGAGTGAGTCCGTCGACACAAACCTATGCGTCTCTATCAGCCTATTCTGTATATAACGGCGCGCCTGTAGTCCCGGTGTGACCCTAAAGAACCCAAACTCCCGGGGATAGGCCATACCTACCAGTGACTGGGCCAGTGTTACGCCCAGGGAGTATACGTCACACTTTCACGTCAAACAACGCCTTACGGCCCACACCTACCGCCGAAAACCAGTTCCTAATATTGCGGGCATATATAGGAAGGCGCCGTCGATGTCCGACTTGACCATAGGCTGGTCGACCGGGAACGCCTGCGCCAATCCAAAGTCGGCCAGTCTATAGTCAATAACCCCATCCCTGGTCACGTGTAGTATGTTATCGGGTTTGAGATCCAGGTGCGACACACGCTTCACGTATAGGTATCGCAGTGCGTCGCCTATTTTCACAAACCACTGGTGCGCCCGGTGCTCATCCATACCCCGTTGGCCTATCAGTGATCGCAGGTCTCCATCGCATAACTCCATCAAAATTATGAGAAATAGCGACCGAAAGCCCGACTCCGGGTCCCGGATATGGAGCACACCGTCGATGGCCACCAGATTTTGATGGGACATACCTCGCAAGACATTCACCTCCCGAAGCATATCAGCAACGGTATCCTTAAGGCTCATCTCCGGGTACAGCGCCTGCGACTTGAGCTCCAGTATCTTAGCGGCCAATTTCCTGCCGATGTGCCGTTCCCTGACCTGCCACACGCCACCGAAAGCTCCCTGTCCTAGTTTGCGCTGAAATGAGTAGCCTATGTATCGCAAGCAAAACACCTCATCCCTCCAGTTCCTGCTTAAGTCAATGGGAGGCCAATCCCGCCCCGTATGGTACTCGTCGTACTGAAGGGGTCCCTGTATTGGGTCACCCTTTGAATCCCTACCGTATGGGGCACTGGGCGGGGGCTCATTAACCCCGGGATCACTGGGAGGGGGTTCAACCCCGGGCTCATTTACTCCTTGAGCAATAGTAGGGGGCCCTACCCCAGAGGGAGTGGGAGTTTGCCTCTGGAGGCGATCCCTAATACGAGTGAACACAAATTTGTTAAGAAAGTCGGCGTCGGATGGGTTTAGCGCCGATGCCTCATAGGGTCTAAACACACCTTTAAGACCTTTAAGGGCGCCCTCCCTGGCCTCCCAGGGGTCGGGATCTGTCGTATTGAAGGGCTCGTAGGTTACATGTGGCGTAAACTTAGCCATCTTTGTGGTGTTCATTTTATAATCAGGCGGTTTCCATATGTCATCCCTGTCCTCCTCCTGTTCCCCGTTATTTGAAATGCTCGCAGCCATAGGACTCAATATTCAATTAAATATGATTTAAATTAGATTTTGAAATTTTTAAAAATTATTCTTTAAATCTAGTCTACACTAAAAAAATTAAATTTAGTCAACTTTTTCTCTGACAATACATTATATCGTACTGTTAGTCAACTTTTTTCTTGAATTTTGAATTGTCTTGAGTTAATGGGGTTACTGTATATCAGAATTGGAAAACTGTTTTGTCAGTCAGATTTAACTACTAAAATGCGGGCTATTGCTAAACTATTTGAGTTATCAAATTTATATTTAAACCTCAACTATGGTTTTTTGTCTGACACATTCTCCCGAAGAGAGTACTAGTTTACAGCACCGGTAGGTCGGCACAGGTAGGTTATCTGTACAGCAAAAAAGTATAAGTCGTAGAGAGACAGACAATCAGCACATCGCTGGAAAGAAAGGTTTATTTTCATATCATAACCATAATTGTATTGAAGCTAAAGAATACAAATACGGCTATAATCTTATGGACCATACGGGTGGGCATTACTGGTTACCCACCAGTGCTCACATACCTGAACCATATTGGGTCTAAGCGCCGGGTCCTTTTCAATCATAATGAGCAGTAGTTGTATAATGAGGTCATTAAAAGCAAACCTATTCTTATCAATGAGCTCCGCCTGAATCCACTGCCGGGCCTGTAATCCGGGGGTTTGTCCAAAGATTGCAAACTTTTTAATGTGTTTGGGCTGAGCCAGGCCTATGAGCGATCGGCCCAGGGTTATGGCCAGGGAGTAGACGTCGCATTTGCTTAAATCCAATGTCCGGTTGCTACCGGTGCGCAATTCCGGTGCCATATATAGGTAGGTGCCCGTCTCACCTTGCCATTTTTTCTCCAGAGGGCCCGACTCCTCAACCACCTGAGCCAGTCCGAAGTCGACCAGTTTGTAGACCCATACGGGGGCTGTGTTTGGCTGAGTGGACGGGTACAATTCTCCCAATACTTTCTGGGGGTCATTGATGTAGTCGACTACTCGTGGGTCCAGTGATGGCTCTTCGTAAGGCCTAAATTTACCAAATGGCAACTTTTTAATTGCCTCCGGGTCTTTAGCCCAGTCCACTAGGGGTACGGGTCTGAAGGGTTGGTACGTGAAGTGGTCGTCCGATCTCTCTGTTATTATTTGTGGCTTTGTTTGTGAGTGTTTCCCCGGAAATGATTTTGTTGTTTAACAAAATTTTAATAGTTTTGTGGATTTTTTTTATAGATTTGTAAAGTGAAGGTTTTTATATGAAAAATATAATGTGACTTTAGCTTGATGAACTTAATTTTTACTAGATTTAATTTTGTTATATCGCTTACATTAAACTAAAGTCTTGTCATTTCTACGGTCTGGTACTTACTGACAGTATCGGTGAGCCACGGGTGCTCAACCACCTCATCCATAGTGAACCTCTGAGTCGGGTTGTCCTCAATCATACCAAACAGTAGTCTCATGAGTGGCTGATTCGGTACAAACCTATTGCTTTCAATGAGCTCTTTCTGAACCCAATCCCTGGCCCTCACTCCCGGTTTAAGACTTAATCGACTGTACAGTTTGTCCCAATCCATGCCAATCAGGGTCTGCCCCAGTGTTACGCCCAGGGCGTAGACATCACATTTTGGCACATCCAGTACAGCTTGAGATTTAATCCTAATATTACGGCATTCCGGTACCATATACAAGGAGGTGCGATGGCCTACCGGCCCCTTCATATGATCCGACTCATCAACTACCTGTGCCAGTCCAAAATCAGCCAATTTGTACGTAAAGGGGATGTACTTAAACAATATGTTCTGGGGTTTGATATCCATATGACAGACACGTTTGCTGTGCAGGTAGTGCAGGGCGCCGGCTATCTGTGCGAACCACTTGTGCGCCTGACCTTCATTGAAATAGCCGGGTCTTTGGGCCAGTAGTTTAGTGATGTCTCCATCGCACAGACCCATCAGTATAATGATAAACAGCGACCGAACCCCATATTTCTCGTCCCTAACGTGTATCACCCCATCGATGGGCACCAGGTGTTGGTGTGTAAGCCCTCTAAGCACATGCACTTCATGCAATAGCTTGGCTATACCCTCCTTAATACTACCCTCTTTGTAATACCGGTTCAGTGGTAACACCTTTCCAGCGAACTGTCTGTTGTTGGCGATGTCGGTGACCCTCCAGATCTCCCCGAATGAGCCCTCCCTAAGCAACTCCTCTGCCCTGAACCCAAACGCCTCCAACTGTTGTATCTTTTGGGCGGTCATGCCTTTTGACGAGATTGTAGGCCAACCCTTGGGGTAGTGCTGTTCGATGTGAACGGGCCCTTGAAGTGTAAGATCCGATATGTCCTTACCGTAAGGGTTGGCCATTTTGTCCTGCAGTTCAATACTGGGATAAAACCTAGGGTGTTTCATATAAGCCTCCGAGTCTAATACCGGTTCCTTCATCTCGCGGTACCGGATCTGCTTTTTTATGGGAAGTTTTTTGACAAAATCCTGTCTAAGGGGGTGGGGGTTGAAGGGCTCGTACCAGAAGTGCTCATCGGATCTCTCGGTCATTGCTTATGAGGGTTGTGTCAGTGGTTACCCGGAAGTGCACTTTTGTGCGTCTTTTTGTATGATTTGTTTAATTTTAGTCTAAATTTTATTGTTTTGTAAATGTATTATTGTCCAAATTTTGCATTTCATAAGCAAGTGCTAAGAAATTTATTTGCTAATTGTATTCTATATGATTTGTATATTTAATGCATTTTTACAAAAGTATTTACAAATATTTTCAAAAGTAGATTAGACTGTAGTGTTAGTCAACTTTTTTTCTTGAAATACTATTATTTAAATACAGTACTTGTAGCATGGTAATTATTATTATTAATTGAATTATTTAATAAAGTTAACGTTAACTACTTTTAATTTCTGACTATTTTTATTGATTATTTATATTTGAACTAAAACTTTGTAATTTTCTACGGCCCGGAACTACCAGCCCCTATCACCCACGGGTGCTGAACCACCTGATCCATAGTGAACCTCTGGGTCGGGTTGTCCTCAATCATACCAAACAGTAGTCTCATGAGTGGATGATTGGACACAAACCTATGGGTCTCTATCCCAAGGAGTAGACGTCACACTTCGGCACATCCAGTACCGCTGAAAAGGCATTTCTGATGTTACGGACCTCCGGTGCCATATACAGGAAGGTGCCCTGGGCTACTCGCTTCTCCATAGGTGCCGACCCCTCAAACCTCTGGGCCAGTCCGAAGTCGGCCAACTTGAACACGAAGGGGACGTTAGCACTCCCGGTGTACAGTATGTTCTGGGGTTTGATATCCATATGACAGACACGTTTGCTGTGAAGGTAGTGCAGGGCCCCGGCTATCTGTACAAACCACTTGTGGGCCTGACCCTCATTGAAATACCCGGGCCTATAGGCCAGTAAAATAGTGAGGTCTCCATCGCACAGACCCATCAGTATAATGACAAACAGCGACCGAACCATATATTTCTCGTCCCTCACGTGTATCACCTCATCGATGGGCCCCAGATTAGGGTGTGTCAGACCCCGAAGCGCCTCCACTTCATTCATTAGCTTAGCTATACCCTCCTTAATACTACCTTCTTTGTAATATCGGTGTAGTGGTAACACCTTTCCCGCAAACTCCCTGTTGTTGGCGATGTCGGTGACCCTCCAGACCTCTCCGAAAGAGCCCTCTCCGAGCACCCCCTCTCTCCTGAACCCAAACGCCTCCAACTGTTGTATCTTTAGGGCAGTCATACCTTTTGACGATATTTTAGGCCAACCTTTAGGGTTGTGCTGTTCAATGTTGACGGGCCCTTGAAGTGTAAGATCCGATATGTCCTTACCGTAAGGGTTGGCCCTTTTGTCCTGCAGTTCAATACTGGGATAATTACCAGTAATAGCCTCATTGATTAATGTCATCCTGGGCCTTTTCATGTAACCGACTGCTTTTGGGTCTAATACGGCGTCCCTCATCTCCTGGTACCGGATCTGCTTTTTTATGGGCAGCTTTTGGACAAAAACCGCTGGAGTGGTGTCAGAAGTGCTCATAGGATCTCTCAGTCATTGCTTATGGGGGTTGTGTCACTAGTTACCCGGGACAGTTGACGCTTGTTTGTCGATTTTTATTAACTTGTGTTATTTAAAAAAATTATTATTGTTTTAAAAGTTATTTTATTCCCGGTACTTTGAAAATAATTCATAAGAAATTGCAAAATAAATTCAAAAATAAATTATTTTAAATAATGCTATAGATTTTAATTCAACACCTATTTTAGTACAACTTTTTTAATTAATACCTATTAGAATATATAATTTTATTCAAGTTCTATTTAAAAATAATCTAATATAGTTTTCTACTTTATAATTAATAAATAGGACAAATATAAATTAGGTTTATATACTAATTGAAAATAATTTGCATCATATCGTAACATTAAATTTTAAATTTTAAATCCAAGTAAATCTCAATATGTTTGGTTGTGTGGCACAGGTATCCCGACAGTAGTTACGTGCGAACTGTTCATCCGGTCGATCGGCTCCATAAACCCGGAGTCCATGGACTATGAGGTGGACCTGTATTTGCGGCAGAGATGGTACGACCAGAGGCTGATGACTGGGAACGGGTCGCGGGCTCTGGACCTAAACGACCCAAAGTTAGTGCAAATGATTTGGAAACCGGAGGTCTTCTTCGCCAACGCCAAGACCGCGGAGTTTCAGTACGTCACGGTCCCCAACGTACTCGTCCGGCTGGACCAAGGGGGGTCCATACTCTATATGCTCAGGTATGTCAGCACAGTATCATTTATAGTTTTAACAATATATTTAATTTAAGTGTTTTAAAAATACTTTTTTTTGTAAATCTAAAAGTAATTTTTATGCTATTAATTAATCATTGATCGGATTAGCTATTAAATCTTAATTATTGATAAACTTATATTTTAGTAATCTGTTTATTGATTAAGATCTGTAGTACAGTATTCCCACTGATACCTACCCTGCCTACAAATAAGCATTAAATAATCAATAAAACTAATGAATACCAAACGTGCTTTAAATACAGAGTAAATGATTGCTTATATCACTCGATAGCATCTTATTTATAGTTATATTTCTAAATTGATTCATAATTTATACGAACGGCTATATTGAACAGTATATCAAGTTTGCATTTCCCTATGATTTACTCCATTTCTAGTAATAGTAGTTGTATTATAATAGGAAATAATAAATCAAACTTTTTTCTCTTTTATTTGATAAGAAAAGTGAATCCGAAAAACAAAAAATAACCAAAACTTTTTGTGTCACTCGAAAGTGAATTGTTTTTTCCGAGAATATTACATGTTGTTGTGAACTATATTTTTATTGCTATTTAATTTGCTATACATTTCAATACATAAAGAATAAATTCTGGATTCTTTAGACATTTATTGTGAATCTCCTTAAAAGTCGCATAAAATGTAAGGTATTATAGCTTATGGTTATTGTTCAGTACATGTATTACAGGAAATATTATGTTAGACACACTCGATAACAATCACATTACCGGTGATATATTTGTGCAAGAATAAAAATAACAAAAATACATTACATTTTATTTCACTATCGGTTGTGTCGATCGAAAGTGATTACTATATTTCCATCCAATATCTGTACTCTACTATATAAATCACATCCCTTTCCGTATCGATTGACAAAAATGTTTTCATAAATCAATAATTTATAAAAGTTTTAGAATATTCTGTAAGAGTGCCTAATTGAAAATATTCTGTATTATAAAACATATATAATTAGATTATGAATAATAGAAGAATTATGTTTATTATTATAGAGAAAAATAATTAAAAAACTTTTGCCTCCAATGAATTGAACATTTGAGTTAACAAAGGATTAGACGTTAAGACAATAAGCGGATTTAAGTTGACAATAAAATTTAATTACGAGTTTTAAACCATTAAAGTCTACGAAACTTAATAAAGTGTAAAATATTTACATAAATAATAAATTAAAAGTTAAATAATGAATTCTGTATGTTATCAAAACTATTCTTTTAGTATAATATATGGATTTTTGTTGAACTCCCTGTCCATGTCCTACTGGCCCTTTGGCTATCAGTTATGTTTATGATGTTTACTATAGACTCAAACTGCGGTTCTCATGTATGATGGATCTCTACCGGTACCCAATGGACAGCCAGATCTGTGCCATTGAATTGGCCTCATGTGAGTACACCATTCACTACACTATACATCCCTATCCATGAAACCAGTAATTTATTTGTCATTTCATATAAAATGCATTTTATTTTGAGTTTTTATGTTTTAGTTTTATACGACATAAAACTTTTTCCAAAAGTATTTTTTGTTTTGATTTTGAATGCGATATCAGTTTCAAAGACGACAACTGAGTTGAACCTGAAGTGGTCGGACATATCACCCGTGAAACTGTACGACAAACTAAAATTACCCCAATTTCTCATCACTAATGTCAGCACAAGTCTGTGTAAAGAGACCTTTCATATCGGTTTGTATGACCCATACATTCACATAGAGTTTATGCGCTAATTATGGCCACAATTGTCGACCACTTTCTGGTCTCCCGTCTAAACCCTAACCCAAACGACAGGTGAATACAGTTGTCTTAAGGCCGAGTTCTACCTCCAGAGAGCACTGGGATATCATTTGGTGCAGTCATACCTCCCGACTATACTCATAGTAGTCATCTCGTGGGTCAGCTTCTGGCTGGACGAGGAGGCCATACCCGCCCGCATCACCTTAGGGGTCACGACCCTACTCACCATCTCGTCCAAAGGTATTGATGTTTACTATAGACTCAAACTGCGGTTCTCATGTATGATGGATCTCTACCGGTACCCAATGGACAGCCAGATCTGTGCCATTGAATTGGCCTCATGTGAGTACACCATTCACTACACTATACATTCCTATCCATAAAACCAGTAATTTATTTGTCATTTCATATAAAATGCATTTTATTTTGAGTTTTAATGTTTTAGTTTTATACGACATAAAACTTTTTCAAAAAGTATTTTTTGTTTTGATTTTGAATGCGATATCAGTTTCAAAGACGACAACTGAGCTGAACCTGAAGTGGTCGGACATATCACCCGTGAAACTGTACGACAAACTAAAATTACCCCAATTTCTCATCACTAATGTGAGCACAAGTCTGTGTAAAGAGACCTTTCATATCGGTTTGTATGACCCATACATTCACATAGAGTTTATGCGCTAATTATGGCCGCAATTGTCGACCACTTTCTGGTCTCCCGTCTAAACCCTAACCCAAACGACAGGTGAATACAGTTGTCTTAAGGCCGAGTTCTACCTCCAGAGAGCACTGGGATATCATTTGGTTCAGTCATACCTCCCGACTATACTCATAGTAGTCATC